TTATTAAAGGTTACAAAATAGTTCCTTGACTATAGAGTGTTGCTTTGTTGAGTCACTCACTATTAAAAGTTACAAAATGATTACCCTACCATTCATATGTTTCAAACTCGTTCTTTTTTGTTAAAAATTTGACGGACGTTTGAGTTGGACGTTAACTTGTTATTGGAATATGGTAAAATATTATCTCAGAACTATTTGAATTGTATTTTGTGGATCGACTCTTAGTTTATATTATGTCGTCGAACTAGTACTTGAAATATTATGTCGTCAGGTCAATGTTTGAAAGCAACGATGATGCCCATAAAAGTCATTAAAATATGATTTTATCACATCTCAACTAGCAAATTAACATCCATATCAAATGATCGTTAATTTTTTAATAGAAAAAGTTGATTTCGGAATATATGAATAGTTAGATGACAATTTTGTATCTTTTAATATTTCAAGGGACTCAACAAAGCAACATCCTATAGTCAAGAGATCATTTTGTAACTTTTAATAATTGAATGACTCAACAAAATAAAACCCTATAATCGGAGACCATTTGTGTACTTTACCCTTTAAAATTTTAAAAACTCACTCATTAATATTATTTATGCATCCATCTCTATTCACAAATGTTTTGTTTTTGTGGTCTCATGTAAGGCTGTAAATGAGCAGAGTCGAGTATTGCTGAGCTTGACTTAACTCGAAAACTTGCGAGCCTAAAATTTTCAAGCTTAACTAGAACTCGAACTCATGAATTGAAGCTCGTAAAAGCTCAAAATAAAAAAAAACTTAACTCGATTGAAGCTTAAACTCGAACTCAAACCTGAATCTTAAATATATGAAAATCTTATATTGCATTTTTTAAAAGTATCAACAAATAAATGTTAATACTATTAATACTTTATTTTTTAAAAAACAATATCTTAATATATTATATATTTTTGAGTTGTTCGCAAGCTTTTCGAGTCGAGTATCAAGTAGCTCGTTTCGGCTTGTTAAAACTTGAGTCGAGCTCGAGATCGAGTCGAGTATTATCAAACTTTAATCGAGTCGATCTTGAATAACTCACTATCTGTCTCATCTCATTTACAATCCTAATGTCACAAGTTAAATGATATTCCACATTGTTTCTTCTTGTGTTGGTGATATTATAAGGCTGAAAATAAGGGATAACAAGAGCATTGACCTTCTAAATAGGAAAATTGTGTATAAAATCTTTCACAAATTATAAATTAATATATAATGCAATTATATCTTAATTTTAATAATATATTATAACTAAATCCTAAAAACATAAAATTGACGTCATAGCCACTTTCCTTTTTTTATTTAAATTTTCAACATCTATTTCTTGTAGGGTAAATTACATCCAATACTATGTGGGATTGAACCTTAAATAGTGATATTATTTTTGAATGTTTTGCTTAAAATTGCAATAATCACGATTGATTGTAGATTGACTTTTAATTATGACATATTTAATCGTATAATACTAATGCAATTGGTTGTTGATTCAGTTGTTTTAAGGTGCATGATTGTTAATTGTTTCCTGAATAATCACATTGTATTGGAAACAAGTGTTGGTAATGCTCAATCCCACATAGTATTGGAAACACTATTGGGAATGGTATTTAAGGCTTGGCTTTCCCACTTTCTTGTTAAGTGATAGAGAACAAGGAAGACTCTCGCGTGCCGCCGTCGCCGCCGTCCGTCTCGTCTCGTCTCGTCTCGGGTCGGGTCTGGTCGTGGTCGTGGTCATGGTCGTGGTCGTGGTAATACGTGTCTTTGACACGTCCGCTCGAATACTATCTTTTTAGAGAAAATTCTTAAGAAACAAATGCAATACCACCAGTCGTTGCGATTTTGGACTATCGCAACAAATTTGGAATAAATCGCAACGCGAACTTCGACTATCGCAATGCGAACTTGGACTATCGCAATGCGAATATGTAAATCGCAATGCGATAGTCTCCTATCGCAATGCGAACTTGGACTATCGCAACGCGAACTTCGACTATCGCAATGCGAACTTGGACTATCGCAATGCGATTTACATATTCGCATTGCAATTTACATATTCGCATTGCGATAGTCCAAGTTCGCATTGCAATAGTCGAAGTTCGTATTGCGATAGTCCAAGTTCGCATTGCGATAGTCCAAGTTCGCATTGCGATAGTCGACTATCGCATTGCGATTTACATATTCGCATTGCGATAGTCCAAGTTCGCATTGCGATAGTCGAAGTTCGCGTTGCGAATATGGAAATTGATTTGCGATACCGAAGATCGCGTTGCGAATTATCGATCGCATTGCGATTTAATTGGTCATTTTGGCAAATCCAAAAAAAGTTGGTTAAAATCGTATATTATAAGACATTTTTGATCACTGATGTTATTTTCTCTTTTTTAAATCATAATTAATATTACGTTTTTGTTTTATTTTGAATATCAGTCGTTAAAATTTTAACAGTGATATTGATAATGTCAACCATCATAAAGAAAATAGAAAATATGACATCAATACTTTTATTTATCTTTTAACGATAAATAATTAAAATAAAATTAAAATATAACATTAAATATGATTCTAAAATAAATGATAATTAGATAATGAAATCGAAATCAAAATGATAAATTAATGTCTAAATACTAACTTTTTTTTTATTTGCAACAAATATTTTCCAAATTGAATATCTCGTCTCTCTATTTTCAGCTACCTACAACCTTCACCTATCCCATCGCTCCTCCACCACTCTTCTTCCCCCACCAAACAGGGCCGATCCTGATTATTTATAAGCTCAAGGCGAAAATAAAAAATGAGCCATAATATAAAAAAAATAAAAAAAAATATGTAATATAAAAGTTTTATTAGATTTAATATTAAATTAAAAAATAATAATTCATTAAAATATAAAGATGTCAAAAAATAAATAAATTTAAGAATACAAATACTTATAAAAATATTACATTTGATCATTTTTATGCAAAACCATTGATGATAGTGTCAACATCAAACACAATTTTCTTAATAAATAACATAGCATTAAGAATAATATTCAATATGATTCAAACACCACAATTGATAATAAACAATTGTGACTTTACTTGTGAGAAAATCTGATGAATTAAAAAATGAGAATAATGATTTTCAGATGAATTGTGAAACATGAAAGAGAAAAGAAGCATGCAAATTATACTTAAATTTTGTTTCCTCTTATTAAGTTTTGAAGAAAAAAATAATGTTAATAATTTTTTTTCATTGATATGAAAAATATGGAAAGAGATTTAGTGAATTGATAGTGAGAATTTAGAAAGACCCAAATTAAAGAGATTCAAATGATTTTTTTTAATTTGGGAAAGAAATATTGAATTAAAATTTTATGGAACAACAATTTATTAATGTTAATATAAAATTCAATAATGACAATTGACACCTTAATAAATTCATGGGCCCTATTATTTTATTGAATAAATTACGTATTTAGTACCTAAACTATCAGTTTTAGTACCTAAACTTTCAATTTTTTCAAATCATACCTAAAATTTAGGTTTTGCTTCATTTTAGTACCCGCCGTTAAAAACTTTAGTTTTTTTTTTCATTTTAGTACTCATTCGAAATTTAAAGTTAAGTTTTAATTTTTTTTTTGAAATTTTAGGTACTAAAACAAACCAAAATTAGTAGTTAGGTACTAAACACGTTAAGTTTTTAATGGCGGGATACTAAAATGAAATTAAAACTAAACGTTATATGTTATTCTAAAAAAATTAAAAGTTTAGACACTAAAACGAATCAAAATTGATAATTTAGTTACTAAATACATAGATTATCTTATTTTATTTTACAATTTTTCAATATTATAAAAAATAAAAAAATATTATATAAAGAAAATTAATTTGTGGGCCTTGGGCGGATGCCCCTCCTTCTCTGTCCGAGGGTCGACCCTGCTACCAAATCCTACCACCCCATTAATTCAATCGCCAACCTAACCTTCATCCTTGGTTTTCAGAACCGGATCGGTTAACGAACCGGTAATGCTACCGGTTTATTGGTTCAACCGGTCGAATCGGTCCGACCGGTCGGAAGAACCGGACGACGTCATAATTATTTAAAAATTTAAATAAAAATACCAAAAATATTTAATAAAAAATAATTTTTTATATCACAAGTCATATTCAAAGCAAGTCATAACATATATAAGTTAAAAACCATAAAATCAAGTGAAACAAAATGATTCAAATTAACTACAACATAATATTTAAGGTAAAACATATTAAATAATAAATATAATTATATAACTATAATTAAAAAATAAATTTGGGGTTAAAAAAATCATAACAAAATGATATTGTTTGGTTTAATTTTTTAAAGAAAAAACAATCCCACATGGCTAAAAAACATAGAAGAGCATCCAAAAAGTCTAAAGAGTAAAAATATGAGAACAAAACAATCTCACATTGCTAAGAAACAAGCGCATCACAACTAACTTCTATAAATAATAGAGATAATTTGGCATTCAAAATCATGAAGCCTTTTGGTGAGCATTGAGTGAACTATTCTTTCACTTCAATCAAGGTCGAATTTTAGGCTTCAATCGAGCTTTTAATTTTTTTTAGTTCAAGCCTTTTTAAGTTCAAGTTTCAATATTATATTTCGAGTTTAAGTTGAACTTGATAATTTTTAGCTTGTGAGTTTGAGTTAAGTTGAGCTTACTTTTAAAGTTTTCAAGTTCGAGTCGAGCTCAGCAATACTCGAGTTCGACTTGACTCGTTTAACAAACGACGTTGTTTGGTTTAATTTTTTTAAAAAAAAAACAAAAATCCAGTTTTTCCCGGTTTTTTTCGATTTTCAGCCGGTCCGGTTCGAACGGTTCAACGATTCTGACCGGTTCACTAATAGCAGTTCAATCGATTTAAATTAAATCAGACTAAACAACGATTCCCGGTTGAACCGATCGATCCGATCCGATTTTTAAAACAGAGCCTTCATCCTCTATAAAAAAAAAAAAACCCATTTGACCAAACCCCCTAAACCAGCAAAACTCCTCCGCCATGGATTTCCTCCTACTCGAGAAAGTCCTCATCTCCCTCTTCTTCACCATAATCCTCGCCATCTCAGTCGCCAAACTACGCGGCAAACGCTACAAGCTGCCCCCTGGCCCCCTCCCAATCCCCATCTTCGGCAACTGGCTCCAAGTCGGCGATGACTTGAACCACCGCAACCTCACCGACTTAGCCAAAAAGTTCGGCGACATCTTCCTTCTCCGCATGGGACAACGCAACCTCGTCGTCGTCTCTTCCCCGGAGCTGGCCAAAGAAGTCCTGCACACCCAGGGCGTCGAGTTCGGTTCCCGGACGAGGAACGTGGTGTTCGACATCTTCACCGGGAAAGGACAGGACATGGTATTCACGGTGTACGGCGAGCACTGGCGCAAGATGAGGAGGATCATGACGGTCCCTTTCTTCACCAACAAGGTCGTCCAGCAGTACAGACACGGATGGGAGGCGGAGGTGGCCAGTGTGGTGGAGGATGTGAGAAAGAACCCGGAGGCGGCGACCAATGGGATTGTTTTGAGGAAGAGATTGCAGCTTATGATGTACAATAACATGTACAGGATCATGTTCGATAGGCGATTCGAGAGTGAGGATGATCCTTTGTTTGTTAAGCTCAAGGCCTTGAATGGAGAGAGGAGTCGATTGGCTCAGAGTTTTGAGTACAACTATGGTGATTTTATCCCCATTTTGAGGCCTTTTCTGAGAGGCTATTTGAAGCTATGCAAGGAAGTCAAGGAGATGAGATTGCAGCTTTTCAAGGACTATTTTCTCGAGGAAAGGAAGTAAGTACTCATCCTCAATTTCCATTTTTTTTACGTTAGATGAAATTTTAATTTATTTATGCCCGTTCTTTAATTTTAACTTTTTTATATTAGTTGAAATTTGAATTTCTTTAGGACGATTGTCCCTAATTGAAGGTGTCTATTTTAAAATTTAGAGTAAATTATATATTTAATATCTAAATTATTTTTTTATACTTAATTTTTATTTTATTTTAAAATCATATTTAATGTTTACTTTTATATTTTATTTTGGTACTTTACCGTTAAAATTTCGATGTTGATATTAACGTATTACTTTAAAATAATATCATATCATAATTAAAAAATAAAAATTATTATACTAGTAATTTGTTAATTTTTTATGGTAGAATATAAAATTGAAAATTAAATTAAATTGTGAACAAAAATTTGAAATAAAATAAAATTTGGATATCAAAGCAAAATAAAAAGAATAATTTAGGTATTAAGCATGTAGTTCAACAACAATAACAACAACAAAATTCTATTCCCATATGCAATGGGATAAGGGGATGTAGGGTAATAGGTTGTCCCCAACGCCAAGTTGAGAGCAGCGTCCGTGGAAGACCTCCGGCAGTCAAAAAATTAAAAATAAAGATAAAATGCAATGTATGTATATATAAATAAATAAATAAATAAATAAATACATAGTTGACAGAACTTCATATGCAGTCTATATATACGCGTCTGTAATGGGAAGTAATCCCTGCGAAAAATCTCTGCATATAGAGAGAAACGTAAGATCTGACTAATTTTAAAAAGAGGAAACCTGAAGCGAAGGATACACAGAAGTCAACGATAACAAGCTACTAGAAGGAATAAAGTCAAATGTGTTAACACCTAAACTAAGGCAACACTAGTCCGCTACCATAGTTCTAAGCCTTCAAAAATTCTAATGTCAGAAACATATATAAAGTAGAAGTCATGTAAATTACTACAAAGGCATTAAAAAGAAGACATATATGTTACACCCTATGGCTGTGAACTACACTACTCGACTACCTTGGTCTTAAGTCTCCATACTTTCCTATCAGAGGTCATGTCCTCGGTAAGGGTTAAATCTTTAAAATCAGATCTCAAGCACTCTTCCCACTTCCGCCTTGGTCGTCCTCTCCTTCTGGCACCGTCGACTGTAATCGACTCTACCCTCCTGACCGCATCCGACAGTTGTCGCCTAAGGACATGTCCAAACCACTGTAGTCTTTCCTCCCTCAATTTTCGGATACAGGCATCACCCCCAAGGACATCATAATAGCAGAGTTTGGTGTCATGTCCCACAGAGTCCTACCACATGCCCATCGTAGCATTCTCATATCTGCGGCCTCCATCATCCTAACGTGATCGTTCTTGATTGCCCAACATTCTGATCCATACAGCAGCGCTGGTCTTATTGCCATTTTATAAAATTTCCCTTAATTTTTAGAGGCACATTCTTGTCACACAAAACTCCAGTAGCAGCCCTCCACTTTAGCCATCCCGCCTTTATATGGTGTGTAACGTCATCATCTACACCCCCATCTTTATGTATCATAGACCCTAGGTACTTGAAACAATCCTTTGAGGGGAGAACGTGTTCTTCTATGCATACTTCTACATCTTCATCGTTTTGGTTCCCACTAAAGTTTGAACATAAATACTCTGTCTTTTCAATATTGATCCTTAGACCTTTTTCTTCCAAAACAGTTTTCCAGGTAGTCAGTCTACTATTCAACTCAGTTTTTGTTTCAGCAACTAGGACAATGTCGTCAGCGAAAAACATACACAATGGAACACCGTCTGGTTTCGCACAAAAGATGTCGACCATAATCAAGGCGAAGATGTAAGGGTTAAGAGCCGACCCCTGGTGGAGTCCGATTTCCACCGGGAATGTATCGGTGTCGCCAACTGTAGTCCTGACGTAAGTAGTAGATCTACAGTACATATCACGAATCGCCCGGATATAAGCAGTTGGGATCCGTCTCGTTTCCAAGGTCTTCCAGATCGCATCACGGGGAACTCTATCATATGCCTTCTCAAGGTCAATGAACACCATGTAGAGATCTCTATTTTTTCCCTATATTTCTCCATAAGCCGTCGAAGTAGATGGATCGCCTCCATAGTAGACCTGCCTAGCATAAAACCAAATTGGTTTTTCGAAATCCTAGTAACATGTCTCAACCTAGTCTCTATCACCCTTTCACATAGCTTCATGGTATGACTGAGTAGTTTAATACCTCTGTAGTTGCCATAACGTTGGGGATCTCCTTTATTCTTATAGATTGGTATCACCGTAGACTCTCTCCACTCCTCTGGCATCTTGGCAGTCTTTAAAATAATATTAAAGATGCTGGTCAACCACTTAACTCCCTCTTCTCCTAGGGCCAACCACACACTGATAGGAATTTGATCAGGTCCGACAGCTTTGTCCCTCCCCATCTTTCTAAGGGCCATTTTGATTTCCTCAAACCCAATCTTACTTATAGGACAATCATTGGCCGTAGTATGATGGTCGACTGACCCATCAATGGTACTATCTCTACAGGTAGAGGCACCGTCATTAAATAAGCCATAGAAGTAACTACCCCAAAACCTCTTAATATCACGATCTTTAACTAAAAGAACACCATTGTTGTCCTTAATAAACCTAATGCTACATATATCATTTTTCCTATTTTCCCTATTTTTTGCAAGCTTGAAGATGCCGTTTTGTCATTCCTTGGTGTCTAATATCTTTAAAATTTCCTCGTATGCCATATCCTTTTCTTTAGCCACTGTTTTCTTGGCTTCCCGCTTTGCCTCATTGTATCTTTGTTTAGCTCTCGATCTTTCTTCGTCGTCATTGTATTGTAGAAACTCCTTGAAGCAAGTTTGCTTTGTCTTTACCTTAGTTTGGACTTCATCGTTCCACCACCACGATTCTTTATGTTCCTTGACCTTCCCTGTCGACAACCCAAGGGTGTTTTTGCCCATTTCTCTGATGGAATTTGCCATATTTTTCCATAACATATCTGCATTATTTGCCTTTATAGTTCTAAAACCTGTATTAGACAAAACCTTACTCCTAAAGTCATCAGTTGTCGCTCCATGCAAGTTCTTCCAAAGGATCCTAGGTTTACCAAGTTTAGCCGTCCTATGAGTGCTCCGCCCGTGGCGTACGCGGAACACCAAAACCAACAATCTTTGTTGTGATGCATATGCCTCTTCAGGGAACACGTTACAGTCAATGCAAGCCCATCACTCTAAGTTTTTTTTGTACTAGTCCTATATGATAAAATTTATGTTATTCATAATCCCGAAAAATATTGCAGGAAGCTTGCAAGCACAAAGAGAAGTGACAACAATGCTCTAAAATGTGCCATAGATCACATTCTTGATGCTCAGCAGAAGGGAGAGATTAATGAAGATAATGTTCTTTACATTGTTGAGAACATCAACGTTGCCGGTAACATTCCTATTTTCTTTCTTGGTCTATTTATAGATATATATTTCCATTGTTTAAGATTTGAAATTTGACCTAAACTTAGTAAAAGTGGCCTATTTTGCTAATAATCTTTGATTTGATCTGTTATACTAGAAAGTCATTTGATATATTGTATTAAAAAAGAAACCCAATTTGGGCCTATTCATAAATGGTGGGTTTTCGTTGGGTCCTAGGCAAATTGGTTCAACTATGGGCAATGATCATTGTGACCACGTAGGTGATTGTTGCAAGGTAGGACCAGACCGGCTAACTAACCTACCTAATTTGATTACAAGTTGACATCCCATTTTAATATTATGATAAGAATAATATCAATTTTAAGGTAAAAAGATTTTTAATATTTGATTAAATAATTATTTTAGTCTTTATGTTCTTTATTAAAGATTTTGATCATTAATATTTTATTTTAAGATAAAAATTTATATTTTAGAGCATTAATCTTAATTATTAGTTTCTACCCATAAAAGGATCGTTTTATTCTAAAATAAAATATTGAAATCAAAATACTCCGAAAAATAAATATTAAAGTGAGTATTTAAACATTTTTATCATTATATTATAATAATATGTCGGCAGCTAGGATGGACCAAAAGGATATATTAAATGGGTAATTGTCTTTCTAATAATTTTAAATTTCTATATTATATATATATATTTATTATTAATTTATTTTCATTAGGGGCTTTAACATTAACTATACCTCCGTCTTACTATATAACTCTGATGTAATAAAAAATATTTATTAAGGTAATCATTTCATCACCGTGTATGAGATAATAATAGTTGGTCAAAGTACCAAGTATATCCAACTCAAGCGATCTCATTGTTATGTATGCAGCCATTGAAACAACCTTATGGTCAATCGAATGGGGCATTGCCGAGCTCGTGAACCATCCCGACATCCAGCAGAAACTCCGTGGCGAGATCGACACTGTACTAGGACCCGGTGTGCAGGTTTCCGAACCAGACCTCCACAAGCTCCCATATCTACAGGCTGTGATCAAGGAGACTCTCAGGCTCCGAATGGCCATCCCCCTATTAGTCCCGCACATGAACCTCCATGACGCGAGGCTCGGAGGCTACGAAATCCCGGCGGAGAGCAAGATCCTTGTGAATGCATGGTGGTTAGCCAACAACCCAGCACACTGGAAGAACCCGGAAGAGTTCCGGCCAGAGAGATTCTTCGAGGAGGAATCGAAAGTGGAAGCAAATGGGAATGACTTCAGGTATCTACCGTTCGGCGTTGGAAGGAGGAGCTGTCCGGGGATCATTCTTGCACTGCCCATCCTGGGGATCACGTTGGGACGTTTGGTGCAGAACTTTGAGCTGATGCCGCCGAAGGGACAGTCGAAGCTCGATACATCGGAGAAAGGGGGACAGTTCAGCTTGCATATTTTGAAGCACTCAACCATTGTTGCAAAGCCTCGGCTGTTTTGATTAACGAGTATTTGTTGGAAAATCTGGATTTGATGATCTTTGCATATTGCTTGTTGGGGGTATAAATGTGTAAGATGGATGCATGCTTGCATTGTTTGATATAAAATCAATGTGCCAATAATGCTTTTATTTTTCATATATGTCTATTAATATCTTGGTTTTTTATGTATGGAAACAAAATATCGAGCAATCGATTTGAGAAATTGACTTAATTAAAAAATATAAATTTTAAATGATAAAATATAACTTATCAATTTGATTAATACCTGAATTTTCTTTTATTTTTGATTAAATTTAAATCACATACTGTTATCATTATAGAATATTTATATAATTTTAATGTGTATTTTTAATAATTGTCGAAACCTCTTTAAAACTAGGAGGTAGATCTCTTAAAGTTCCACTTCGAGCGGGTATTAAATCATGGTTCGAGGAAGTTGCTGTCAATTTTGTAAGGTACAATTGAATCACCCAAAAATATTAATTTGATAAAACTAAAATAACAAAAATCGATTTACTTATTAAAGAAATATATTCAGGAGTCGATTACGTGTAGGTGTAGATGATGATTAGCATCCACAACATCCTTTTGGCACCTAATCAGTTAAATTATTTTAAAAATGAAAAAATACAAATTTTGATTTTAAATTGATTAATGATCCTTTCAACAAAACAAATTTAATTTACTCTGTTTGAACCTAACATAAAATATGTTATACAAAAATGGTCGTTAGTATTATGTAGAAATACAAATATATATATATATATATATATACAAAGATTGAAAGACTAAACACATTACTATACTGTCGAAACGGTTTTTTCTGGGGAGGGAAAAGGGAGGTCTCGTTTTCAAAATAATTCTTTTAGTGATTAGTTTAATGATAAAACGTGGTTCGAGAAGTCGTCATCAATATTTGATTAGGGTGTGATTGGGAACCCAAAAACATATTTGTCATTTTAATAAAATATTAATTTTAATTAAAACAAAAAAATTGTGGTTTGCGTTATCAAAATTCGAGTTCGGGAGTCGGTTACGCATGGTAAAGGATTAGCACCCCCACAACGCCCTAATCGGTACCTAGTCGATTAATTAATTGTCTTTGCAATGAGATTTACAAGTTCGAGTCTATTTTAATTGAAGATCCCCTAAAATAACGTTCTTTGAATTTTTGGATGAAACATAATAATATTTAACCATTTCCTATCGAGAAGAATCGATCTGTCATACCTTGAAGCAACCGATTCTTACTCCGATCGAAATAAAGAAATATTAAAATTCCATTCTAAAGTTCACTATTAATTCAAAATAATAACACCCAAAATAATTTTAAGAGTGAAAACGATAATATCTAATTATTTACAATCGATAATAAATGACCTTTCGTGCATTAAAACAATCATTTATTAGCCAATTGAAATAAGGAGATATTACTATTTCGTGTCTTAAAATTCAATATCGATTTAAGTAAAAACGATAATATCTAATGATTTCCAATCGAGAATAAATGACCTCTCATACCTTAAAGCAGTCATTTATCACTAAGACGAAACGAAAAAAATATTATTATTCTCAATGTCGATTCGAATGTTATTGTTTTGAAAATCTATCGGGAAAACACATGCAAAAATAAAACAAATAAAAAGCATAACAAACAAGTAATTAATTATTTACTTTACCGATATTTAGTGAGAATAAGGATATTCAATTATTTAAATATCTCGAGACGAGACCTTAGATTCAATCTAACAATCTTTTCTCGATGAATTTAATTAAAAGAACATGATCTTTTTTCCAATCCCTAAATTTTAGAATGAATTCGATTTAATTCGTGTTAATAAATGGGATAGACTTTCATTTTAAAATTATCAAAAGTAACATTCTTATACGTTAAGACAGTCACTTTACGACAATATTAAAATGATCGAATATTACCTTTAGTCAATTTATTTTGAATCGAGTCAAGTGATGCTTATGAGGGTATCATACAAAATTAATTAGGACTAAAATGAATTAATATGCAAGCAACATGCAAAAAATTAAAATAAACATAAAAACATGACTAAAACATAAATAATCAAACTATCATGCCAAAATTAGAACAAAATAAAGTATACAAATGACTAAAATGAACATTTAGAATATTAAGTGCTAAAATTACAAGGAGTAAAAATAAATAAAACATGGGCCAAATTAAAATAGATTAAAATTACATGGCTGAATTAAAATAAATAAAAAATATATGCGGTTCGAAATATAAACATGCAAAACTACATGGGCTATTTCCTAAATATTCCATTTATTCTAGCCTAAAATACACATTCGAAATAAAAAGGGTAAATAACTAAATTAATCCCTAAGCATTTAAAAAAAATTAAAATACATCACTACACATGACAAAAAATGTAAAAACACACTAAACATGAAAGGACTAAAATAGAAAATAACCTTAAAAATATTTAACTTGCATTAAAGTGGGTAAATTATAAAAACAGTCCCTATAGGTCACTAACATACAAAAATACGCTAATAGTCGGGGGACTAAACTACGATTAAACTAAAATTTTAAGGCATACACATAAATGGGAAAATTATGAAATAGGTCCCTTCTAGTGACCTTTTCGTAAAAACATGCTAAAACTCGAGGGACCTCTGTGTGATTTCCCCCAAATATTTCTATAAATAACAACTAAAACGACTAAGGTAACCTCCGATCTCATTTTCTCCCTATTTTTTCTTACATGCAAAGTAGTTTATTTTTTTTGTTTTCGAACACAAAAGAATCACAACAACAAAAAAAAAAAACCTTCGAAAGTTTCTACCTTTTTTTATTCGAAATCGAAATCTCCAAAACTCATAGGGGAGACTGCCTTTTTTTATAAGATATGTTCGAGGTTTTATAACCCATGAATATTATAGATTTTTTGTCTGTTTTTATATAAAATGATTACAAAAATGTCATTGTTACGTGTGATGTTGGTGTTCGGTTGCTTATTGATATATTCTAAGTTTTCTGACAATGCAGGGCTTCTGATTGGCGGCAGCGACGGTGGCCGGGGAGTGGGTAAAATGGACGATAACATCTACTTGATCTGGATCGTTGGATGGGTCCAGATCCGACGGCTGAGATTAGTGGCGGCTGGAACCAATGTCCAAACCTTAATTGAGGGTCGATCTGGGCCGTTGGATCTAGGAGAGCTGGCGGTGACTATGGAGATAGGTAAAACCCTAAGTTGGTTTGGGCTCCAGAATGTGTTCTGCTTCAGTCGGGCTTCGAGTATTGGGTTAGAATATGTATTTTGGGCTCCGGGTTTGGTGTAACCCAACTTGGGCTGTTGTAATTGCCCTGCAAAATAAATAAAAATAATTAATTAATTAATAATAATAATAGTAATAATGAACGAGACGAAAACGAGTGTCGACAGTTACTATACACATAGAAAAATAAACATCAAAATTATATTAATGGATTAAACTAAAAAATAGAGGTATAGTAAACAAAATAAATAAAGAGATCAAAAACAAATAATGTAAATGAAAAATTAATTCATGAAAGAAAAAAGAATATTAGTAAAAATAAAATATAAATTAAAAATTTTAAAAAAACTAAAAGTAAATAATAAATACAAAAGGACAAAAATAGAATAAAGTATAAAAAATATGGTCTTGATTAGAAGAAACCTGATATAAAAAACAAATGAAAAAAGAACCAATTAGAATAAAATACGAATTAATGATATTAAATAAAATAAATTAAAAATAAGAAAATAAATGAGAAAGGGCTAAATTAAAATAGAAATAAAATAAAATAATCGAATATGAAAGAAAAAATATTAAGAGGGCTAAATTGAATATATAATGAAAGCTGCAGGGATCGAGGTTATTTTTCAAAATCAATGAGCTAGACTCCCAAAATGACATCGTTTTGGGTCCTTATATACCCTTATGGAGCTCATTTTTCTTATTTTCCCTCTTTATCTATTTTTAAGAGAGAGGATCTCTCACTTCTATCTAAAACACTAAATACTATTATCTGTGCTTGTCGTTATCGGTCACTGTCCGTCGACGTCGTTAGTCGCTGATTGAAGCCAAATTTCTCTAAGTGACTCGTATTGATGCCAGGAGTTCAAATCCGAGCTCTTTTTTTTCTCTAGAAAATGCCTCATATCCTATGAAACAATGGAAAACTTCTCGACTTCTACTTCCCCAATCCACCACCGTTCGCTGTTGGACCACCGCAAGGTTCGGATAAGTTGTTCGCCCCACCCTTAGAATCCTTTCCATCGTTCGGATCATTGAGTTACCACTTCGATCATCGGGGGTCACCAAACTCTAAAGGGGAGAACTCTTTCCCTTTTCTTTTCTTTATTTTTGGTTTTTTTCTTTGTTTAGTAAACATGCAAGTAGATAATGTCAAGAAAAAAAACTATTTTATTATTATATTTTGAAAGTACATTGGTGATTATTTCTCCCTTGATTTCTTTTTCCGAACACTTCTTTTCTTGAACACCCTTGCTCTTTTTCTTTTGTGTTCTTGTCGTTCTTGTCGATTTATTCAAAAAACATTTCCATTTTTTATCATCCCTAAGAGTTTCTCAAATCTCTTTTTATTATAATCAATCCAAAAGGAATTTGAATCTCAGTGAAAATGTTTTTTCAGTTCTTTCTAAATCTCTGAAAACAAATCTCCCAAAATAATTGTTGGTTAGTGCACGATTTTTAGTTGAATGACGTGTGGTGTTGCGGAATACGACTATCGGATAGAGCAAAATCGTAACTGATAATTTGAGAAAATAAAAATGAAGATAAAGAAGATACAAATTTTACGTGGAAAACCCCTAAATAATATAGTGTAAAAACCACGGGCAACAGTAGAAGAATTTCACTATGAGAAAATAGGAATTTCACTATGAGAAAATAGGAATTACAACTTCTCTCGATCTAACAAGGATAAAACAATAACAATTCTCTCTTGATAAAAAGGAGAAAACAACTCTCAAGAAAACTATCTAAATTCTCTAGTATTGGGAGAAAGCTAGAATGATTTGGGATGGTTTTGAAGCTAAATGGGTTAGGGTATTTATAGTTGAAGATTAAGGACTAATCTTATAAATACCTTAAAGTACAA